TCATAAATATGAGATAAAAAGTTGAAATGAGAAAGAATCTAAATTTATAAGATTACAATTTGAAAATTATGAGATAAAAAGGTCCCAATTTTGACATAGACTGTAATTATGAGATAAAATTATGAAATTCAAAAAATCTGAACTATGAGTTTAAAAAGTCAAAATTACTACATACTAAGTCATAATTATGATATAAAATAAAGTAAATATTATGACAGTCATAACTATGAGATAAATTGAAATTATGAAAGAAAAAATGAAATTATGAGATTAAAAAGTCAAAATTATGGGATAAAAACATCAAATGTGACAGTCATAGATAAAAAGTAGAAATTATGACATACTGAGTCATAATTATGAGACAAAAAGACTTGTATATTATAGCTATAGTTATAGAATTATGACACTAGAACTGAGATAGAAATTTTGAATCATTATTATGAAATGAAGTTTAAATTATGAGATAAGTCAAAAAAAGTCATACGTATGAGATAAATAGTCACAATTATGACATACTTTTTCTTTTGTGGTGGAAATGGGCTTCCATACATAAATGACTCTTCATCAGTTGTATTTTTATGCTTATGGCATACATTTATCCAGAATTCAGCTGATGTGTGGTCACATGTACACATATATCATTACAATGACTTTGAACGCAGCTTATCCAATCAGAATTTAGAGCACAACTATCCATAAATACATTTATTGCTAAAATGACATCAGAACTCACTGGAATAATGTTCTTTGGCCAAAGGCCAGAGAATGCAGTATGTACCGTCTTCCAGCAGGGGGCGAGCATGCTCTGTACATTCCCACGATGCTTTTCTCATCCTGCCCAGAGACACATCGCTGATTTAAATTGAAGGTCATCACTTACCTTAGAGAATGCAGCATCTGTGGGCATACATATTGAAGAGAATTACTCAAAGACAGTATTTTATATACAATCTCAGGTTTTACGTGCTTGGTGCATCACCGAACCTTAAAATTAAAGAACAGCCTTCAGATATTGTGAGCGAGAGAAAAGAGACATTTGGCATTTATTTTTTGCTTCTTTTTTTTCAAGTTCAAGCTGATGCAGAGAGGGACATGTTGTCTATAAGCAGTCCAGACATGGCTTGCAAAACGTATTTCTATTTGTCAGATCTCCTTGTGTGACATTGTTTTGCACTTTCACTCTTCCCTGCTTGGTTCGATGGACCTCATGTCATATTTAATCCTCAAAAGTTGCTTATGCTACAATGTCCTGCCACTGGCGACCCGTCCGCTCTGTATATGTTGATAAGAAGAAATGAGGTCGTACATGGGATGGTATCCTCTA